GTATTATGCCCCCAAAATCAAATATCCCCTACTTTTTTTGAATAGTATATGTGATTGTCTCAAATATTTCAAGTAAGTCTGAAAGCTGAATTTCTCAAGACTCTATTTTTCATTTCCTTCTGAAGAGGTCCCTAAAACCAATAGCAAGACCCTCAATCGGCTGTGTCCATGCTTTGGCTTAGCAAGCTAGGACCTAAAAATTTCAAGTAAGTTTGAAAGCTGCATTTTCAAGAATCTACTTAAATACTCCTTCTGCAGAGCTCCCTCACACTAATAGTAATAGCAAGACACCACAAGCTGCTGTGCCCATTCTTTTGGCTTAGCTAGCTAGGACCCACTCACCATGTTACTCGCCAGTTACCCTCGCTTGAATTTTTATCCGAACTGCTTATTTACATACATTTTCATTCTCCTTATAGCTTATATGTATGTACCTTCCAATATGTATGTATTTTATCATTATAATAATATTTTAATATGTATGAACTTTATCACTATAGAAACATTTAAATGTGTATGTATAGAAATATAAAAACATGTATGTACTTTATCAATATAATAGCATATCAATATAATAGCATAATAAATATATCAAATATGTATGTTCCTGATCAACTTATATAGGAATGCATCAAGTGTCATGTATTTTAATCAAACAGTGATAAATAAATATGAATGTACTTTATCAATAAAGAAATATATGCATGTACCTAATGTACATATTATAGTATAGTAACCAATATATATATACTTGACTAACAGAATAGCTCATAACTACTATGGCACTAACTAATTTTGTATCAAACATGTTAACCATCATTCCGTTAACCTTCTAAGAAAGTGAAATGTAAAGCATGTATGATGTGTATTGTAGTTAATTTTATATAATTTCAAGCCTTAAAAGGAAAACAGGATGAAGGAAGCATCACCTGTAATGAGCTCAATGTAGTGTATAAGTTGGAGGCTAATTGGTTCAAATTAATATGCAATAACTGTAGACAATTACTCTTACCAACATTATTCTAATTAAGATATAAAGCATCAAATACATTTTCCAAACTGGAGCAGATTAAAGGAACTACTTAATGTGGATAAGTATATTACAAAACTAGTACTCACTAATGCAAGTAGTATACATATGAGTCTAGTAATGTTACTAAGTCTTGAGGATCAAACACACCGGTTCCGGTTGCAGAACAACTAATTAAAAACTGTCTTCATAATATATTTAGTTGTCATCTTAGAGTTTAAGTTACGTTTTTGTAAAAGTAAAATTTTAAGTCAGAAAATAATCGACACAAATCTTGTATTTTTAGTCTTCATTTTCCAATACCTCCCCTGTTTTACAGTTAGGGTTGTTTTCTGGTTCATGTTAACCGTGCATACGATCATATTATTCTTTGGCTTTTTCAAAGATCATGGTTTTATTCATTGTTTTTTTTATGTTTTTTAGTAAATTTAAGTATACATAGGATTCTATCAACTGATTTATTTACATTTGATAATAGATCGCGGTTTCAGGTGACGATTTGGTAACTGCTTTTTGAGAAAAATACGTTGTGTGTACAAGCCATTTCAATAATGTCAACTTAACCATAGATGCTTATAATGTATACTATTCAAAAAAAGTAGGGGATATTTGATTTTTAAGTGTTATTAAAGTCACCTAATGAAACTGACGAAGAAACAAATGACAAAATGAAATGAAGTTCACATTCATCGATTTATTCCAAATGATCGTTAGACCAAGTAAGGCACAGACTGACCATTATAAGGGTAAAATGATACCCGGGGTCAAACAGCAAAGTTACCACAGCATCACAACCAAGTCAGTAACGGGGAAATCCTCCTCTGTTTGCCAAACAAGCATTGATCCGACGTGGCATAATCCTAATGAGACGTCTAAGGTCATTTTGGTCCAGATTGTCCCATTCCTGTTGCAACGCAGCAGCCAGTTCTTGGACATTGGCAGGACGTTGTTGACGTTGACGTAACCTTTGTCCAAGCATGTCCCAGACATGCTCGATGGGGGAGAGGTCGGGACTCAGTGCTGGCCAAGGTAATGTGGTGATGTTCTGTTGTTGGAGGTAACCTGTAACGATCCTGGCCCTGTGACATCTTGCGTTGTCATCCTGGAAGATGAAACGGCGGCCATGACGTCGTGCGAACGGCACAACATGGACTGCCAAGATGTTGTCCCGGTAGTACTGGCCTGTAACACGCCCTGCAACAACATGTAAAGCCGTTCTTCCAGCAACAGTGATGCCTCCCCACACCATAACAGAACCACCCCCAAATCGATCATGTCTGATGACGTTAACGTCTTGGAAGCGCTCGTTTCGACGACGCCACACCCTCCTACGTCTGTCCAAAAAATCAACAGTGAACCTTGACTCATCTGAAAACATCACATTGCTCCAGCGTCGATTATCCCAGTGTTGACGATCCCTACACCAACGAAGTCTTGCCTGAATGTGATGATCTCTCAAACTAGGGATCACGCGAGGGCGTCGGGCGTGAAGGTGACCCCTATGCAGTCGATTCCGAATCGTCTGGCCACTCACTCTCACACCAGTGTCTGTTTGAAGACGAACGCTGATCTGATTTGCTGTGATGACACGATTTCTCAAGGCCAAGGTACGGATAAATCGATCCTGGGCTTGAGTTGTCGCCCTTGGTCGACCTGAGCGTGGTCTGTCCTGTACAGATTGTGTATCACGGTATCTGGACCATAGCCTGCTTATGACAGACTGAGAAACATTCATCGTCCGCGCCACAACCGCCTGTGTTGTGCCTATCTGTAGCATGCCAAGGGCACGTAACCTTTCATTTTGGGTAAGCCGACGCATATCAAAATTTGTTTTCTGGTCACTAAAACAATTAAACTGATGTTTCCACCCTGGAATTCAATGCCACAATGACTGTGACATTCAAAGTCAGAGTCGTGCAAATCTTGGGTTGGACCCCCATGATGATCCCAAGCATCACCTGCATTTCATGCGGTAGCTATTGGTGCGTTTGGGCGTCACATGTAACTGGAAATGTTTCTTCTGTTAGGTTCTATAGTGACTTTTTTCGTAGTCATTTGCATATTTTAGTATTATGCCCCCAAAATCAAATATCCCCCACTTTTTTTGAATAGTATATTAGATGTTGCAAATGACAATATCAAATGCAGTTCCAATATACAGACATGTTCATTCATTGGGACGTTAGTCAAGCTGAAATGTATTTTTTAAAATGAAAATGCACATGGGAGAGCGACAGAAAGGGGTTTAACGTCCACTCGACACAAACTAGGTCATTTCGGCACTAACATATGGTTTAATTTTATTTTAATAATTCGCTTGCGCGGAGGGGTTTTTAGGAGTGTGAGGAAACCGGAGGGTCCGGAGTAAACCCACGAGGTTGGACAGGCTACCCTACTCCTTGTCACGTACAATACCACGCCAGTTGACTCAATGACAGGCCTTGTGATACAGAGCGCACGTGCTAACCATTCGGCCACCCAACCCCCTTGAATGCAAATGGAGTTGTATGGCACAGCAGCTTTAACCGGGCTATATGACACCAAACACATGTAACAAGAAAAACTTATATTATACGTAAATAAATATACATGTATTTATAAATGAAAATATGTCCTTTATGCAACTTAATAGTTAAAATGATACACACTTTAAATTTACACGTTTTGTCATACCTATTTTCTCAATGCAATCTCAGATAAGCTGAGAGGCCAATTATCTGTCGTCTGCCCGCTTTTGGAGGAGCCCGATTCAATAGATTTGATACACTTAGGGAGTCGGGCAGGAATACGGTTTTTTGTGTGTGTCTGCGTAGCTAGCCATTATAATGCATTTTTAATAGCCATCAGTTCTGCAGTGTACACAGAACAATGTTCTGGTAGCCCTTTTCTGATGTTCACTGTTCAGCTTTTGTGTGGGTATGAATATGCCATAACCAGTTGCCACCTTTGTATAATCTTCCGATCCTTCTGTATATATTTTGAGTCTACTAATTCAGAGTCTACTAATTCCATTGCTAGTGCTCTAGCCTCTAGGGGAATTGTTGCGATTTTTTGTGATTTCAGTCAAATATGTGTTAGTAATTGGATCACTTATAGTTTCAAAGGCGGGGTGTCGGGGATATAACATGACAAAATGTGGAGCAACTATATTATCTGTCCTTTCCATATTCGCGCATATCGCACTGTTACTTTCCTGGATAATGGCCCCTGATTGCACGAAAAATCGCCTTTTGGCATGTGGCCCCTCTATAGATCACCATTTTTTATCCGATTTTAAAAGCCGTTCAAATATATAACTGCTACATCATATTAATGGTTGAATTCGAATTTCGTACAAATCGGACCGAAACTGCCGGACAAAATGGACACTCAACGTATGCAAATGGTGGACCCACTAGCTAGAGGTCACAATTTTTATGTGATTTTGATGAAGCCTAAGAAATACTTTTATATCGCAAAGTTATCGGTTCCGGTCGATATTCGCGCTTATTGAATTGAAACTTCCTGGATAATGACCCCTGATTGAAGAAAAGGTCACGTTTGTGGCTTGTGGACACTCATGAGGTCACAATTTTTATCCAATTATGATTAAACATAAATTACATGTTTATAGCGCAAAGATCTCATTTCCTGTCGATTTTCGCCGAGCGTATCGGGCTGACCTGCCAGGTCATTGACCAAGGCCCACACAAGTACGCGCCGAAGGGGCGTCACGAATGCAAACCCATTTTCCAAGCATTTCAGACCAAAGTAGAAGAACGCAAATTTTTGATTTTCTGATACAATTGGATAACAGAATGACCCAAGAGCACTATCGTTAGGAAAGAAGGTTGTGTCCTGTTCTCTCCGAATGCGGAGAGTATACATTGGCAAAATGAATGGGTACAAAATTGAAAGGAAGTCGTCATGAGCTAACATCCGTGCTGATACTTTAGACATATTCAAAACATATAAAACACAAACGAATATGTTATTATGATTACTTTATTATATAGTTATACAAACTAAATCTTACTGACATTCTAGCTAAATAAGAATACATAAAACATTATTTAAACCCAATTCTAGAACATTATATATTAAATAGAAAAGATAAGATAAAATATTATTTAAACTAGAACAATAAATATTAAATAGCAAAGATTACATAAATTATTATTTAAACTAGAACACTAAATAGGAAAGATTACATAAAATATTATTTAAACTAGAACACTAAATATGGAATAGAAATTGAGCGAACGGTGGCGTCATAATGATGGTTGCTAGGTAGAAGTATCAAAATTCTAAATTTGTTTGCCGTTCATGCTTAACATGTAAAGCGACTAGACATTTTTCGCCTTAATAATAGAAATAAGATGAAATAGAATTAAAATTTACACTGAACAAATAAATAAGTTGGATTATACATTGTCTTAAATTAGAAATTACATGAATGGAAGTTAGAAATTACATGAGTAGAAGTAAGAAATTAGACGATAGCATGTTAGAATTTTGAATCTAATATACCGCCATACTGTTATTCACTTAAAATCTCTGAGATCTGGGATTTGTTCATTCCAGGAAGTGTAAACAAATATCAAAATCCAATCTTTATCGAATTTACACGAGTTATGGACAGATGGATGGAGGCACTGGGTAAATTCATATAATCACTCAACAAAAATGGTTGATACATTGGTATAACCGGCAGACAACCATATTTATTTGAACAGTTCAGAAATATAATCCGATTTAAAATCATCATGAAGTCTGAACAAACAATCGTATAGAAAATGTCAACGGATCATACGCATATAATAGATAGCATAATACTTTTTTAAAAAACAAACAAACTACTAAATGTTAAAATATGTGACTATTATATGTATCAGACTAACAATGGCCGTGTTTTAGCTTAAGACCATAGGTGAATTTGTGATTTAGAAGTTACGAAATACTGTTAAATATAACCGCCCATCAGAAGAGGAACTGTTATTCACTCAAAGTCTCTGAGATCTGGGATTTGTACATTCCAGGAAGTGCAAACTATTATCAAAATCCAATCTTTATCGAATTTACACGAGTTATGGACAGATGGGTGGGGGCACCGGGTAAACGCATATAATCACTCAACAAAAATAGTTAATACATTGGTATAACCCGGCAGACAACCATATTTATTTGAATAGTTCAGAAATATAATCCGATTTAAAATCATCATGAAGTCTGAACAAACAATCTTATAGAAAATCTCAACGGATCATACGCATATAATAGATACAGTAATACTGTGTTTTTTTTTAAAAAAAAAAGTACTAAATGCTAAAACATGTGACTATGGACGATATTAACCGATAGCATTACAGAGAGTGACAAGGAGAGAAGCGACCAGAAGTAGGGATGTATAAATTATGGACATAGCCCCGCATGCTTCAGGGGCTAGTTTGGTAACTATTTTGGCATCCTTTTCTATGGAGGCTGCTCTACAATTCGGCTCCACCGGTTTTGCGTTTATACAGGTCAAATAAAATTCAGCCTGCCTGTAAAAAAAAAAAAAAAAAAATTGAAAGTAACCATATGCTTGAATTTTATACCTATCATGTCATCTTTGATTTCAATTTCAGGATAACATCTTTTACTTTTAATTATTGACAGAGCACACTAAGTATTATTTATTGCAGACTTTCCAAGATGTATTAAGGCACTATTACAATGACAACTTCAATACAACTAATATCTCTGATCTCAAAATTGTAGTCAAATATTTAATGTGCATGTATACCAAGTGCGAAATAAGTGTACTATTGAGTCGAGTGACTCCCTGGCATGACCTGGCCTTGATTTTAGACTATCCAAATTACCAGATCGTATATTTGAAGACATTGATGAAACAAATGCTATGGGGAGTGGTATCAGATGTTAGTGTATGTGAATCAAGTAAGCAGTCCTGCCCCATGCAAGATATCCATCAACTACTTATACCTATATGGACAGAAGATAGCCAGTTTGAAGTCGTGGATATATTCTGTTGGAGAATTTCATATTCTTTTTAATAAGCGTCTCTCGCATCACAGAGACTTAAGATTACTCACATGTGTAACTCCTCTATCCTCAAGATGCCTCATAGTTGACATATTACTATTGCGATTTGCATATTTGAATAACACTACCATTGACAGCCCATATGTTTATTACAACTAACCTTTTACATTGCATGTACACGAATAACGGTCAAACATATAATAAACACTTACTTGCAGATATGATTTTTCTGGACGTCGTAAGTGTCGCTGGTGAATGGCCCCCGCGGATTGAGACCAGCTGCAGTCAATTTACGCCCTAAACAAGATGTTACATATGTTCCAACACAGTTTCTATCAGCTGAAAAGTTCATCATCAGAATAAAGATAAATTAACAAGATATAAAGATAAATTAAACAGATACATGACCAATCACCAATTTAAAAACATTAATTACACATTACGTTTAAAAAGTGGCTGTCACAGCCACATCGACGTAATCTGATTATTTCTGGAATGATTATTGAATAACTCTCCAACCCCACATTCCGCTATTTCTGAGAATTGGTCGTATATCAGACCCTCAGGTAGTTATTACCACAATGTTACAAGAGCGCTGATGTAACCATGAGTGCTATAGTTCTTATGCAATACATGATTTTTATCTATCTACAAAAATGGTATTATCCCTCCCTCAAATTCTATAACGTATCTCAATTCAAAGTTTGGACGAAATAGCCAGATATTAAGTGTGTTAACTACTTTTAAGTGCAGACGTTGGGTTGATTAAGATATTATTTTATAAACTTCTGTGACACAGGATAGTTTCCCATTGACGAGTTGGAAACCTGTGACTAGGATAGTGCCATTTCTCCAATTTGGTTCTACGAAGCAGGATAGTCTTACATAGGTCATTTTATTTGCTGTGTTTTACAACATTTGCACATAGGCACACGTTCTTCATCTTATTCTGTTAGTTGCATTTGAATCCTTACCAATACAAATGTTTACTGTTTCTCCGAGTCAACCCGGAACTGACTTTTAACATAAATAATGTCATTTGCCTGGTCACTGCTAATCAACATATGAATATATGTTGCTGATAAAGTTTAACTTACTAGGTCCGTCACTACAGAGCAGATCATATGCTTCTTTATAATTACTTGAAGAAGCTACCAATGTCCTGTCATTAGCCGAAACACATCCTCTAAGTAGGTCAATGAAACAACCCACGGCATTCTTAAAGCTGTCTTTCAATGCACTGAAATTTATTAATCAGGATTTGCAATAGTTTTTGAAAGGTGGCGAAATCATGTATATCCTTTCTATTCGTTATCGTAAAAAATCAAACATTCGATTTATAAAGTACAGTACAGTAGATATAATGAGCCGTTTGCATTTGGGAGATCTTGGACTAGACAATTGCATTTTGTATGTTTAAATTATTGCCAAATATTATGTAGCAATGTCCCGCTTTCGGATGAAGAAGATAACATATTAAAACTTAAGCAGATAGAGGCTGATGCTCCCGCTGCAATTCCAAAATAAATTGATGACACATATTAATTAATTGCATATTTATTTTTGTTTTAAAGTATCGAGCAATCAACCTGGTTGTATATTATTAGCCTAATGCTAGGTCCCCCACTGTCGTGCGATGCGTTACGCGTTACTTACGTGAGTATATAAGACCTACTAGGATCACCACGATTTCAGTGGACGCACGCATCGGGATAGTGAGAACTAATCATAAGCAGAAAGTATTCCCGATCGAACCCAGTCATGGTTTTTAAAGTACCTGGCTGTGAAATTAGTGTGTCCCAATGTCTCGACCAATCAGATTGAAGTCTCTACTTAGCCTAAACAAGAAATGTATTGATGTTGTAAAACTATACACGATGTTTCACCACTCTCACTAAATAAGAATCAAAAGTTATCTAGCGCCAAAGTCTCAACCGATCCGATTGAAGTCTCTACTTACAAATAGCCTAAGCAGAAAATGTTCATTTTTAGAACTTGGTCAAGTAACTGATGTAATGAAACCGGGTATACATGAATGTGTTAGGGGGAACATTACAAGTGATCTGTTAAAAGCACGCAATCTAGATTGTTCATCCGATCCGGAAAACTAAAGGTTGTTCATTACCAGACCCTCATTCCTAACCGTTACTGAACTATCCTCTCAACTAACAAATATTTCTAACATTGATTAATAAATACCCGCATATTTCTGCTGTGTCTTGAAGGAACAATCTTTGTATAGCTGACAGTGTTCGTACATCACCCCTTACTGTAAGATTATTATCTGTATAACATTTGTCAATTTTGGAATTAAAGTCTGCACAAGAACTGGTATCAAATTGTCCATTAACAGCATAACCTAGTGAGACAAAATAAAAATTAATATTATTATTATTACATCGGTTTTAACCTGACATTACAGGTCTAAATGGTAACCTTAAATGTGCAAATTCTGGTTTAGAATTAAAATGGCGAGACTATAACCAACATAAGGACTCAAAATTTGCAGAAAGAAAATTGTCCTATATTATCAACCCAAGATTCATCTTGAAGCAGACGGTAAATTACAACCGGTCATTTCCGGAAGCCGAATGAATATAAACATGTGGGTAACGCTTTAGAAGTTCAAGATCGGGGAGCTTCTTTGTGATTAATTTAAAACACAAATTAGTAGATAGTTCACGAGAAGGTCTATACAGATCTATGGACGAGTGAGACACTATTCGTTAAATGGGGGGGGGGGTGATCGAAAGGTTAGCGCGTGCGCGTTGTATCATAAGGTCTGACATTGAGTCAACTTGCGTGGTTTTGATTCCCCGGTTGTATGTGTCACGGAGTAATGTCGCATGTGCAGCCTCGAGGGTTTTCTCTGGGTCCACCCACTGTTAAAGACCCTTACGCGCAAGCGAATTATTGAAATAAAATTGAACCATATGTTAGTCCCGAAATGACCTAGTTTGTGTCGAGTGGGCCAAGAAGTAAAGTATTTAAAACATAGGTACAGTAAAAACGTTAGATGCCATGTTCACACCACAATAAATAACTACATAATCCCTTCATTCCGAATCTTTGGGGTCCAGGTAACCAATGTGGAAGTTTTATATGGAAGAAGTAAAGTATTTAAAATATTGGTATAGTGTAATTATGATAAGGTCATAACACAATTAACAATTACACATTTGCTTCATTCAGAATCCTTCGGTGATGTCGATGAAGTCATGAACTACAGAAAATGTTTCAGAATCAATGTGGGGGATTTATTTCAACTAATAAATCAGCATTAGTAAATATGGTCAGGGACCAATATAAATAGGTACAATCTTATGATGGATCATGCAGAATTGGATCCTAATTGGTAATAATTGCAACATGTAAATTATTTACAGAAAATATATTTAAAGGTGAGTGTGGCACTGTCCATGGGGGGCGGATCATGCCTCAAAATCAATAGTTATTGTCCTTAGGGTATAAGGAATAAGTATACTAAGATCCAAGATGATCCATTTAGAAATGCAGCATGTATACGATAAAAACAAACATTGAGCGTGGCTCTGCCCCTGGGGGTCGGCACATGCAGCAAAATAAATAGTTGCCTTCCTTAGGCTATAAGGATTACATATGCCAAGCTACAAGACGATCCATTACGACTTCTAGCCTGTAGGCCGTCAAACAAAGAACAAATGGGCGTGGCTTTTTTTCCTGTTGATCGGACATTCACCCAAAACAAAAGGAACGTTAAAGAATTGCTACCTGTAGGCAACACACAGACGCACACAAAAGCTAGGCGTGAGTTTACCTCAGAGAGTCATGTATGCACCAAAAAGAATGGAGGTCATCCTTAGGGTATAAGGAATAGGTGTGAAAAGTTTTCAAGACGATCCATTAAGACACGCAAAGAGAAAATGGGCGTGGTTCTGGCCCTGAGGGTTGGGTATGCACCAAAGACAATAGGGGTGATGCTTAGGGTATATAGAAAAAGTATGGAAAGTTTAAAAATGATCCGTTTAGAAATGCGGCCTGTACACGAAAAACAAATACAAAAAAATCGGCGTCACTACCCCTGGGAATCATCCACAGGGTATAAGGTATAAGAATGCAAGGTTTCAAGATGATCAGTTAAGAATTGTGGCCTATAGGCACCATACACACTGGCGACACGCATACACACAGACAGGGGTGACGGCAATATACGTCCACATATGAAACGTACATAAAAATAAACCTTATGCAAAGAAATTAGAAATCAAACATGACGGAAGGATTAATTTTCTCAGTAGTTTTGTCATCTAAAGATTATTCGTTGCATAACTAGAAATCATTTCCCTCTTCCATATTGGTCTTATGCCATCACATCGGACACATCGACATTTCGACACCACTCAATCGTTTTTCTAGAAAGCAATATAAAGCATGACTTTTATACGCATCAGGACCAAACAAACAGCAGAATTCGTAGTAAGCTTTTGTAAATATCCGTTTGAACGGACCATTTACCAACATCCGTGTCTAGTCGGCCAATATATTAGTGACGGAGAATGGTATACCTGTTAGGCTGTATATATTGTTTTAAACCAATCGCTACCATAACCCACTCCACCAACGTAACACTTATTTATGAAATATTTGCGTAAATCGTGGAGGATAAGAATCTGCTGGTACACTAACCGGTTTTCATAAAAATTATATCTATTTTACATTTACGGCTTCGGTGGATATTGTGTAATAATGAATTTATTTAAATTTAAAATACAGATGTGACGTCATCCTTTGGTGTTGGCGTACCATCATTATTTCCAATAATGTACGGGCAACGACTTGCCAATCCTATATTATCTATACTAGATGAAATATTGGACTCGCGTGACGTATTTCATTGAAAAGCACGTGCGAGATAGTGTCTGTATTTTAAGTTGAGTAATGGTCTCGAGCTAAAGACATTGCGTAATATATTGAAGCAACACTCGGCTAACGCCTCGTCCAGTATCAATATATTATTTAATGTCTCGCTCTCGACCATTAAATATCATTGTAATGTGTTTCCTGTATCAAATTCCAGTTACGGGCTTTTTTTTTTCTTCACATTATTCATCGAAATTAGAAATGAAACTGAATTTCCAAGAAGGCGAGATTAGTTTTCATATATATATTTTTAATATTCTAAATATTCTTTATATCATACAATATTAGGAGCAGAACAGTAGGACGTTAACCCCGTTTCATTTCATTTCATACAATATTTGTATTTCACTGTATTGATTTTAGTTTTAATATATTTAATCGCCGCAAGCAAAGTGTATTTGTATTGGTTGATAATAAAATTAATTTAAAACTGACGGATGGAAGGTCTAGCTGTTTTAAGCAGAAAAGAAAACGACTTTTAACACCAGATTTATGGATAAACCTTAACAATTGTGCGATTGAAAATGTTCATCTGCAATGGAACGATCACGCAAATTATATTTCAAAAATTATCAATCAAAAAATATTTCAGTTACGTAAACTGAAAGAATTCCTTCCATGTAAATTCCGATCAGTATTTTATAAATCATATATTCAGCCATATCTCCACTACTGTTCACGCGCTATATGGGAAAACTGCGATATTATATCTCTTAATACTCTCCAACGACAACAAAACCGAGCATTCAAACTTATTCTAGATATAGAGCACAAAAAAGATTTAACTCCTGGCATTGCGGATCTAAACTTATTAAAAATTAAGGAAAGACATTTATTAAATATGTTATCCTACCGTCACAAAATAATTTATAATCGTTAACCGGAGTATTTAACTAATATTCTTCCCTTTTATAATACACCCTATAGTAATATTAATAACAGATTAATTGTTCTCAGACCCCAGCTTTCTGTTGTTAAAAATAGTATAAAATTCAGAGGATCTCAGTTATGGAATTCATTGCCAAATAATATTAAAAATATTAGCTCGATCAACATGTTTCGTAAGCATATTTATAGATATTTAAGTGCTTCATAATTTAATGTTTTCTTGTTCATCCATATTTTATTGATCTATGCCATCAACTTCCATGTTGATCCATTTACATATATTTTGTATAATACTATTCATACCTATCTTCGAGAAAATACTGTTCATATATATTTGTTCCGGATTTTATGCATGCTTGATGTTGTTAAAAGGGCAAAATGCATCAAAGGCCCAAGGCCTAATTTTCTACGCTTTTGAAATAAAGGGATTATTATTATTATTAATATTATTACTATTATAAGGTCTGCCATTGAGTCAAGTGGCGTGGATTCGATTCCCCGCTTTAATGTGACAAGGAATAGGGTCGCCTTCCAATCTGGTGAGTTTTCTCCGGGTCTTCCAGTTTGCTCCAACTGCTAAAGATTTCTAGCTACAGGCAAGCGATGTATTGAAATACTACTGAACCATATGTTAGTTCCGAAACGACCTAGTTTGTGCAGTAGGACTGTTAATTAACCGCGATCTTATTATTACCGCCAGGTACCGTTAGTTCAGATATAAATAATGAAATGACGTTTAACATCCTACTTTTCAGCTGTGGTCTTTTACGTTTCAATTCAGAGTGGCAATACCACTTACTGAATATATCTAAAATTTCTAACGATTCACTTAAGCTATATATTCATTTTCCTACAAATTACTTGATACTAAGTCAAATCAATCATAATTACACAACTCACAATTAATTGTTTATCGCCATGAGGGGTCACATCTCAAAGTGTTGGTATGCACTTACCTCCAATAGGTAAAAAAAAAAAATAAAATAAAATAAGTGTCCACCGCTCTGTATGCACACTAGTACAAAAGCGAAACTCAAAATAAGAACTAGATATGTTGAAAAGTCATTTCATGTTAGATACTTGCATCTATCGCAGTAGGATCAAACCTGATACCCACGCCCTTTTTATTTCACTTTTCTTGAACTTGTTACATTTTTAGGAAAGGGTTAAAATTTTGGACCCATTTAAAAAATAAATAAATATCCAAACTTGGTATCTACCATAAATCTATAAATTTATTGGTGACATATCATTAAAGAGAACGCCCTTCGCTATAAATTTAAAGCTCGACAGGAAACATTGCAATGAGCCGAGAAATTCCTCTCTGGCCATTGCTGTATTGAGACTGAAAACTTGATCTTTGGCGGAGCGTGTCCATTCTAATCGTCCAATCAAATCTCTCCTGGGTACAATATAGCGTCGAATTTTCATGACTTAACCGGGATGACATCTTTAAAAATAATCCTAGTGTTTGTTAGTGCTGATTTCAAGAACATTTTTACCCTTGGATTCATTGGGAACAAACATCGATACTGACATAGATAAATTTGGCCGTCGCTGAAACTCGCTATT